TTTTTTTTTTGTTACAAAATTTTAACAATTTTTCGCTACTCGAGTCATTTTGAAGAAAAGTAATTTTCGAGACCTGACTGCATTCTACCAAAATATCCTTTAAAGCCCCCTCTTCTTTGAGGAGGGGGGTTCTCATTTACAAAACAAAGAACCAATAACTAACATTATAATAATCCCGAAAAACGTTCTGAATCTTTACACCACTACGCAAAGCTGTGAACCATTTGAAAAGAAGAGGGATTTACGGTGAAGAGAGATCAATTTTTAAAATTCTTTAAAATTCTTGTGTCACAAACAAGATAGAAAATTAATTATGCAGCCGGCAAAGAACATACTAAGGAAAAGCAGCAGCAGCAGTAGTAGTAATAGTAGTAGTAGTAATGGCAGAAACAGAAATCGGTTTTCGGGCCTTCTGGTGTTCCAGTTCTTTCATTCATTTCGTTAATTGCATATTTCATTAATTTCTGAAAATTGTAGTTTTTTATTATTATTATTATTATTATTTCATTTATTTACTAATAATTGCTTTTAATTCAATGATTAAATCGCTTCGTTATAATAATCTTGCGTTAAAACGTTGCATTAAAATTAATACTTTTCTATCATAAAATATTTTAAGATATTTTCTATTATCATATTTTTTAGTTAATTTTTTTTTTTCATTTGGTTCTAGTTACTTAATTTTCCTTTCCTTGATAAGCACTTAATACACACCCTCCTTATTCGTTTCTCTTTATATTCTTTTTACGAATGCGCTTTTTTCTTTCTAACTTCCTTACATCCTCTCCTTATATTTCTAACTAAATTTCTAGGTCTTGAAAATAATATTAATACAAATTGAAATTTCGAAATACGAGATTTAGTTTTTTTTTTTCTTTTTTTTTTTTCCATTCGGTTTCTTATCCTCCTAGACACGCGTATATATATATATATATATATATCATATATCATATATATATATCATATACATATATCTAACACGTTCCGTACTTACTGGACGACACCTATGATAAAAATCTATAAACAACAACAATATAAAAAAAAAAAAAAAAGGTTATCACTTTAGATTGTCTCAGCCTAAGTTAATCGACCATTAATCCGCGAAATAGTGGAACAAATATTTCGCTCACTGTATTAAAAAAACTCCAATTGCACGATATTACGAAAAATAGAAAAAATGGGCCAGTAAATGTTTAGCCTGCTCTATTCGAATGTATTAAAATTATCGAACATATTTAGCTTGTGGCGATATAAAAAAAAAAATAATATATTGTTACTTAAAAAGCTTCTGAATAATTCCTTGAAGTGAGAGTTACTAAGTTACAACGGTTACTTACAAAGTGCAAACGAATAAAATAACTTGCCGTAGAAGAAGGTAATTGGAGGAAGAAAGAAAAAAGAAAGAATAGAAAAATATTAGAAAAAAAAGATATCGAGTGTATGCGATGTAATTTAAAGGTTTAGACGTTTTATCCAGTTCGAATTGTCATAAATACCGATACGTAGTAACAAAAAAAAAAGATAACTTTTCTTGATCTTCGAATAAGCTTTGTAATAAAAGTGTGTGTATATATTATATATAGTGACTTTTTTAAAATTAATTTCTAGAAGTTTGTCTTTTTTTTTTTTTTTTTTACTTAATTATTTTCTCGATTCTCTATATTGAAGGTAGTTTTTCCTTGAGACTGTTCTTGATCGAATTTTTCCGTATATCTTTCTTTTCTCGAGTTCTTTTTTTTTCCCCAACTCGTAGCAACTTCCTAAGTTTAATTTAACGCTCGACAGTATTAGCAATAATTCGTTTTCACTCGACGATCCCAAAAACCAATCTCGTTATAATTAACAGTTAACTTTTACAGTTTAAGACCAACAACGGCTATCCCATCACTTTCTTGCTCTGCTCGAAAGTCATGGGATAGTCGTTGTGAATATATTTGTGGTGCTATAAACGGTACAAGAATATTAAGGCTCGGTGAATTTCAAAAATCCAATCAAATAATAGCAATAAAAATTATAATAGAGCGTTAAATTCCAACGAATTTCAAGCACATCTATTGGGTGTTACAGCAAAGTTGCTCCAAGTCGTGTCGTACATTCGCATATATCAAGCTTCGAAAAGCGCGCCCCTGTATCTTCGAAATCTTACAAGAAGCTTCATCCAGGTTTAAGGAACCAAAATTGTCTTTTAGGCAACTTGTATAATATTAAGTATCTTCCTTTGACGATAATAAGCGAAATCGAGGAATAACGATCAAAGTTTCAGCTATTTTGTAAATCATTTGAACAAAACACTTCATATTCTTTCTCTTCTTTTTTTTTTTTTTATTTGTTTCTGTTGTATTATTTTTTTTGGTCTCGTTTCGATTAACACCACATCAATTCTTAATTTTTTTTAAACTCTCCTCTTCCGTAGGATTCCACGCGTGAGTGGAATTCTATAGAAGACGAGATATCTATCTTCTTGCAACATACGCTTTTCAGCCTATGATGTAAAAGTATATATTTTCCAATATGAAATTTTTGAAGTGAAAAAAGACCCTAATCGATGTCGAGAAGTCGTGATCATGATCGAAAGGTTCCCTATTGTAATACAAAGTACAGTTTGAGATCATATTTTGTACATCGCATTCAACTATAAAGGTTCCCTAAAGTTGCGTAGAATGAAATCGTACGAGTAAAATGTAAAACTGAAAATTGCGCATGCTATGCGCCTCGAACAACGATTTTGTGTATAACAACGTATATCTATGATTGACAATTTTCAGAGATCATCAAACAAGTCTCGAATGAATTAGAATGAAAAATAAAAATTCAATAATGATGAAAGGTATCGTACGTATTCGATACATATAGATTACTTGCTTAGCCCTAAGATTGACGTTTTCGTCAATGGAAGGAAATTAACACTAACGCACAAGTTCATTTGTTGCAAGCAAAATTATATAAAAATAGTAATAGTATATGTTGCATCAGATTATCTGAGAAAGCGTGCCAATTAAATTGTTCTAAATTCTTCGAAAATATAAAATATTAAAATTTAAAATAAATTACGAAACGATTCCCGTAATTATCACTTTCTTTTGGTGGTGACATAATAAATTATTAAGATATAATATCGATTATTAGTATTTTTCGATTCGACAATACATAATAACATTTAATCAACCGTAGTCTTCCAGGAGATCATATTTGGCCCGTATCCATAGTTATCACTCGAACCAAAGGGTAGTCGTAATCATACCTATTGTCCATCGACAATTGGTGTGGTTCGATACCATCGAGTGATAACTATGGATATAGTTCGCGATTCTCTATAAGCAATAGTATGTCAATACTACAGCGAATTAATTGACTCTTGAAAGATGAAGAAACGACAATACTAGAAACAGCAATATGTCTCCACTCCTAATTCGCGAATTAATAGCGAAAATTTAAGAAACAGAACCGAATCTATCATATCCACTTTCATCATTGGATCGCTCTTTTCTAATCATTGCACGAAGAAATCGATTACACGACGAATCCAATAAAATCAAATAAGAATCTTGCAACTCATTCGATACAATCATGCATCATCATCCCTTAGGGCTTTGCAAGTCTCCGAGTTCGATTTGTGATTACGAAGGGTAGCGATCAAGTCGCACGATTTTGTTTTCGCATGTTTATTGAAACATTCGAGAAGATTGCCGGGATAATATTTTAACGTCTTTTACCAACCTGGAAGTTGTCTTTATTGTCGAGTTGAATCGTGCTGGCTCCGCTCGATGGTTGACATGCCACGTTTCTCCATGGACGGTAGTACCTGTCGCGAAATATCGAGCGTAGAGGTCTATCGAAGCTGATATCGGAAAACCGTGATAACAAGTCGTCTCGATTCAGTCCTCTGCCGAAGTGTTGGTCCATCAATCGAGACATCGGTCGTTCGAAATCGTCCCACCAATCGCGAAATATCAGAGGCACGACTGACATCTAAAACGGTTTAAGTATAAAAAAAAAAAAAATCGGTGAATATCGGTCAGTTCTTACTTTTCGATTCTAAGACGGTAGTATTATAGATCGATAAAAATTACGGAAAACAATAAGGGAAAGAAAGATGGAGACGTTATGTTAGGTATTACCTAGTTAAACGTGTACTCACCACGACTTATAACACGCGAATGGAAGTTTGACAAATTAAAAGTTAAGCTGTAAGCAATTTTTACTTAAGAACGTGCTAAGGGGATTCTTTTGAGCTTAAAAATCTGCAAACTAATCTACAAATTAATCTACAAATCACAACTCACACGCCTGTCGTTACAGCTATAAGGAACACGATCTAGATTTTACCTTGGACAACGGTTGCAATTAGTAATAATCTTGATAATGAAACGCAAAACACATATGTATACACATGACGTAATTCGAAAATTAGGAACTTCACTTTTAACGCGAGTCTTTTAACATAACAATGCGAGGATAAAGCGAAAGAGATTCCGCGATAATATGAAAAAAATGATCTCGAAGATATCATGAAAATTGTTGCTGTAATCGCGGATTAGTTATCTCGATTTGAATACAACAAATAACAACATTGTTGTTCGATTGTTTACGCGTTTCCTCGAGACCATCTTCGCCACGAATATATTATTATATAATTAGGTCTTACTCGAACGCACAGCAAGTGAGTATATAAGTATAGATTCGTAGCGATTTGATCCGAATTTTCTTCGCACGCGATAATCGATAATTCGTACTTTAACACCGAAAAGGGATAGGGGACAAACCGGACACAATTATTTCTCGTCGTGCTTGGAAAACGTGCACGCGTTACAATTCATTATTCACGTTTAACATTAACATACACTTAACATATTCGAGCACGATACAATAAATCACGAGATTAAGACACATCTTGTTAACAATCAAAGTAACAATTCAAGATAATTCGAAATTTTTCAATAAGAGGTCGAGCGGGAAGTTCATACATCGCGCATTTCAAAAATCATTCTCAAACGAAAAAATATATATTCGTGACATCGAAAATGACGAATTTTTCTCGGTTAGGACTCGAATAGTAGATTTTATGTGAATACCATTTCCGTGAATAAGATTTTTTGTTTAGAATTTAAAAAAATGATCATGTAACGAATTTTTTTTTTTTTCCTTATGAAGGAAAAAGACATTGATATATTACTACAGGGAGAAATGGGTGCGCGTTTGTTAAGAATCGCGCATCGTTTTAAGCCATTTTAGAGAGAAAACGGAAAAAGAAATAAGAACACACACTATTGCATTTCCATCGAATTATACGTATAATATAATACGAAATGTAATTAATTATACGCATAATGTAATACGCTTTAGCATAAGTAAAAGTCTAGATATTTAGGGAGTGGAAGAAGAAGAAAACGATACAGATAAAGATCGTTTTTAGAAGTATAGGCGAAGCGTATGTGAAAGAAGGGGCAGAAATTGTATAAATATTCTGAGCTACGTATACGCAGGTTTAAAATCTCGGCTATAGATATATACCAGAAATACATGAACATCAAAGAACTTTGATTCGAATATCAGGTCGAATAATTACCGTTCCTCGGTCGTCTGACATTAAGAATTTTTACTAATTTCTACCATCAAAATATTAAATTCAAACATGCAAAAGAAGGTAATAACATCCTATGAAAGAACGTAAAAAGTATTTATCCTGTTAAGGAATGATTTAAGACGAGTAATAGAAGAGAGAAACGGAAAGGAAAATTACTGTTTCCATTAAAACGCGTGTCGTATGACGTAATCCTGCGATGATGACGAATACAACATAACTGTTAAATCATGTTTTTCGATCGTACTTTAAAGTATAAGTTAGTCAGTTAAGTCTCCAAATACTACTACTATTACTACTATTATTATTATTATTACTACTACTACTATTACTACTATTACTACTACTACTACTATTACTACTACTATTAAACATTTCGACGTTATGAGAAAAATGAAACTATTATCCTCGATATATTCATGCGCGAAACTTCTTTAGCATTTAGTAAGTGAGGAAGTATGAAAGTGTATATCGTATAAAACTCGCGTGTAATAGAAGGTGACTATTAATTAAAAAAACGTGTTAGTCTTTTTCATGATTACGTTGCGCGTTGATAACCATCCTATACGCGTTCAAACGAATAATATTGTTGACAATGATCGGTTATCGTATAACCGAATTACAAAATGTAGTGAAAATGGAGTAAAGGAGTAAAAATCATAAAATGACATAATACCGTTTCTAGAGCTAAGAGTTTTCAACGTTAATCGGATTAAGGTGATACCCGACATTTTTGAACGATTAAGAGAACGTGTAGGTATTAGTCCTTAAGTGCAGCTTAGGATTCTTACCGATTTACTTTATATAAAGCGTTTTCGCGCATTTCTTTCTTTTTTGTCCGACAAAAGTAAGAACATCGACCGATTCACTGATAATAGTAATATAAAAAAATAAAAAAATAAATAAAAAGAAAAAAAGAAAGATGTATAGAATAATTACATGCAGCACAAGCTTTTTAAACTCAAGTACTATTGTGACTTGTTTTTTGGGAACGTGAAGAATTTAACAGCCAAGGAAAGAACACACACCTTTAAATATTCTTTTTTTTTCCTCTCGTTAAAGAAGAATTAGACCAGAGGGGAGGTACACACGGTTCAGGAATACGAATTTCGACTGATTCAACTGCATAAACGCGACAAGCTTAAATAGGCGCGCCCTCGAAATGCGTCTTTAACGCCTACGGATGAGAGAGAAAAGAAGAGAAATGAGATCTGAATTTTCGGATACTCCCACAATATTCACGTCACATTTACTGACTACTCTCGTCCAGAAATATCGTCCGATGAACGTATTCAAATGCGAGGAGGGGAAGATTTTCTAAGAATGCGTAATTCAAAGCTGTGATTCAGTGTTTTGGATAATTTTGGCACGTTGCACATGTGTAGGGAACCTTTCTGTTCGCTTTCCAAACTTCAAGGAGACATTGCATCGCTGTAAGTCTCTTTATCTAGACAAATATTTTCCTTCTAATAAAGCAAATTTTCATTAAAATTTCGAGTTTTCCTTAGGGGAAGAATATATATTTACTAAAAAAAAAAAAAAACCATACACATACATACATACAATGTTATTACGTCCTGATAATTATTCAATGTCAGCCTTCAATGTTATACGTCATGATCACTGCTGCAATCGCCGTTCACTACTTATCCTCCAAATGTCATTAGGAATGCGATTCGTTCCGATCGTACCTGCTGGTGAGGAGTTCCATGCCTCTAACAAACGAACGTGTGTACATGACGATTAGAGGATAATTTCACTCGATCGTGCGTTAAACATAGGGAGGGGGGAGATTACCCTTTTTGATTTTTCACGTACACAAAGTATATCAATGTTTGGAGAACATTCAAATGTATTTTTGGCAGCGTTCGAGAATTATTCTCATGAACTTCTCGTTGTTAGAGCTTGCTTTTTCGTTCGAGACGAACTGGATAATTCGATGAAAGAATAATCTTCCAATGTATTTATAACTCCCCCGTAATTCCTCCCCTCGATATCGAGAAAGAATCTCCAAAGAATGCCGAATGTAATGTATATTAACGTGCAGATTTTAAATAAGAGCACTTTATTAACGTTATTAACGTTTTTTACTCAAAGGAGTAATAAAACAAAAAATGAAAGTGAAAAAAATCGGTGAGATTCGAGTTTTCAACTTCGATTCTTGCCACCAAAAAAAAAAAGAAGAAAATGATTCATTTAGGATATGTGTTTTTAAATATCGAGGACGGTCTATGTATGAATTATAGTCTCATTATAATTGATAGTGTATATTGTTATTTATCTAAGGTACGTGTTATTTGGCGAATTTCTTCTTACTTAGCAGACAAAGTAATATTAAGATATATTCGTAATCCTTTGATTAATCTGTAATTAATTATACGTTTTAATTATACGTCTAACTATCTCATCGCAATTTCGATGATGATAGTTGATTTGCAAGTTAATAATTTAATTAAGATGACACATGATAATATATTAATATAATGCCTCATTATTCAATTCAGACAAATAATAAATAAACAATAATTTACGCAAAAAATAAACAAACGCACGCGAGAGAGCGCTTGTTAGCGAGTAAAAAAAAAAAAAGAAAAGTAGACTTATAATTATAATATTTCAGGGTTATTAATTACTTTTTTAATATGTTATTAAAATTTTATAACTGTTTTAAGTTGATTAAACATTTCGAGATATAAATAAATAAACTTATTATTATGCGGCATTATAGTGATAATATTAAATAGTAAGTTTAACGATTTTTAATAAACAATTAGGTAACGCGTAATCGACCAAATATTTACGATAATCGATGTAATCTCTTCGAACCTTCAATAATTCTCAACGTATTTCCGTGTTTTTTCTGAAATATTATATGTTAGACATTTGTAAGGCGATCACTGATTTGTAAAAAGAAAAAGAATCTTCGTTATATCACATCAAGCAGAGAGATTATGCCTGAAGAAAAGCGTGCACGCACGCATGCACTTTGCTTTTTTTTGCCCAATTTAACTAGACTATAATAGATTTAATTAACATGTCTCTTTGATACTGGATAAAACGACTTTGATTATTTATATGTTGGAAAGAGAGAAAGCGAAAAAAAAGAGAACGAGAGAGAGAGAGAGAAAGAAAATATTTTTAGGAGCTAATCTGTATACACATTACTATTATTAATAATGTTAATTGTTATATTATAATGTAATAATATAATATAAATATTTTATTAATATTATAATATTATATTAATAATATAAATATTATTAAGTAGTAATATGTATAGATATATTTGTATTACTTTTTGTGACTTAGTAACCGAGTTTGTAACCGATTTGTCAATGTAATCTTTCACGATATAGCTTTCAACGGAAGCGCTATATTTTATATTTTCCCGCTGCTTACGTTACAGCATATGAAAAAACTGTTAACTTTAGGTCTATTATTATCATTAATATTATTATTATAATACTAATTCACACGATGTATCTACACACATATATATATTTGACGTTATACGGCAACAATATTTATGAGTGTTAGATTTTCCTCATAGGCATCGTACAATTAAAATACAATTAAAATAACTTTCTCTATATAATCCTAACAAAAAGCGTGTCGAAATGAAAAGTATTATATACAAGAGAGAGGATATAATATATATTCGTGCGAGAAATTCTTATTGATCCAAAAAAAACTTCGATATAATCTTTGTTCCGCAAATTGTATAACAATCTCTGTATCGCCTAGCTGTTTAGGCCCATCATACACTTCCTTTTATTGGCTGAGAGAAACAATAAAGTGAAATCCGATGTAAAAAAAAAATGTACAAGTGAGTTTTATTATCCTATCCTTCACGTTAAAAAGATAAAGATAAAAATTTTATATTATGTTTGAATATTAAAGATTAAAAATGAAAATAGATAAGAGAATAGAAAATTCTTTCAAATTCAATCTTTGGTATTTTATTATCAGAATAAGCAACAACTAAAAAATAAAATATTAAATAGAAAAGAGTAAAATATTATTTTTAATAAATTAATATATTTTACAATCAATTATATCCAACAATTCTTATTATTAGCTACATAATTGAATTTGAAAATTTAGATCTAAATATAAAATATAAAATATGTACATTTCTTCATTTTCATTATAACATATAGTAATATAAATTATATTATTTATAAACTAGAATGAATAAAATAGAAACAGAAATATATGACATAAATATAAAAATAAATACATATATAGATGTATAGATATATAAATCTAAAAATGACATGTATATGATATACATAATAATATTTAATAATATTTAAACTATATCAAAATCAAATCGATTAGATTTTGTTAAAATTTCTAATCAATAGATTGCAGAGCAAAATCTATAGACAAGAGAAAATAAATATTGAGAGAAAAATAGAAATAAAGTAAAATTGGAAAATCGACACAATCTTTAGAATGCTGTTTATAAAATGTAAAATTAAATAAAGAGAATAAATAGTAGAATAAAGATAGAAATAAGATAAGAATTAGTTATCGGCGCCATCTTTTAAATACTTATAAAAGTATTATATTTTAGATATTCAAAAGATGACACTGATTCTTAATTCTTATTCTATGATACACGAAACTATACAATTATCTCATTTATGCTTGTGAATTTAAGAATTAAATTCAGTTTAATTATAAAAATTGATAGGGCTAAGAAATTTTAAAAATAATTTTTTTAATATATTTTTCCAAATATATGTATCATGCTATTAATGTAGATGCGTATATGAGATTAAGTGGAAAAATAAAATAAATCTTACAGTGTAAAAAGACTACATATTCTATTCAACAATCAATTTGTTTGTTATCTACAAATTCGCAACATATTATAATTTCATTCTCAATACGACTTGTGTATCAATATAAAAAATTATTTCTCTGTATCGAATAGTGAATGTTTGTCGAACACTACATTATTTATGTTAGTTCTTTTGACATTTACTATTTCTTTATGTGGCCGTCATTCATGAACAGAAAACGCTGAAATCAGTATTGAAATTCTAAATCGGTATGTCGAATTTTTTCTATAATTTGATTCTCAAGTGGATGAAATATCTGTGTAATAATAGAATAAAAATTAAGAATCATCTATTGAATTTGAATCATTTTTCTATAAATATTCTTTATAAGTTTTCTCTAATCTTTGTTCTATTGTTTTCCTTGTCTAATTTTGCTCATCTACAGTGTTCTAAAGATAGCATTGATTTTCTAATTTTTATTCTATCTCTATCCTTCTTCCACTATTTATTTGTTCTCTTCTTCTATATAACAACACAAACGACATATAAAATTTCAATTGAATGCTATAATCTATAATATCTTAATTTTTAATGTAAAAAATATATATATTAAATTTTTGGATTTAAAATATCTTTCTAGGATAATGTAATTCAGAGAATTTTTATATAATTATATAATTATATATAAAGAAATATGAATTTTTAAGAAAATAAGTACTTCATGTTGTTTTTCTTTATTTATTACTTATTACTTTCTACTTATTATTCTAATTATATCTTTTAATTCTGAGTTTTTTATTATTATAGAATAAAAACACTAGTTTAAAATTTTTCATGCTATTTTATTTATACGAATATTACATTAAATGAAACGGAATGTAAAATATTTCACATTAATATATATAATATAATGCTACATTGTTTATATATTTCTATCTTTGCCTTTTGAAAAAAGAAAATTCAGCTATATATGAGCTACATATTATTATAATTATAATGAAAAATTTCATTAAATTTTAAACTTAACGTTTATTTATAGGTTGCAATATTTCTAAAACCTTGTTAATATCACCATTTTCAGCATCTAATAAATAAGTTAATAATCCACCTTGATTTGAGAATCCCATTCTTATCATATTTTCAACAGCTTCATTAATTATTGGATTTTGATGATGTATTATTTTTTCTTTTGGTAATTCAGGATAAATTGAGGCTCCATTTGGAGCTGATGGTGCCATTGAAGAAGATTTCTTACAAAAATAATAAAAAATTATTTATAAACTATTCTTCACATTTTATATTATATTATATAATTTAAAATATTTTGTAATATTTTACCTCTTTTTCATTAATTTCATTCACATTAGATGAAGTTGATGCAATATGGTTAGCTTCAGTAGTATCCTTTGTATCTATAATAGTCCATTCATCTGCTGTTACTTTTGGAGGATTGCTATCTTGACTTGTAGTTGATGCAACATCTGATACTGATTCCTTATCATCTTTTGTATCATCAAATAATTTTCTTCCTTCTCCAGGAAATTTCTTAGAATCATTATCATCCATATGTGAATTATCCTTAGATTCTTCTTTTTTTTCAACCTTATAAATTTAAAAAATATATTAACATATATCAATATATATTAATATATATATAATCAGAATTAATAACTATTTTTTTAATCCGATAAGATTTGGATATAATTTTTGAATTAATTTTTTGAAATTATTTTCATTATAATTATTACCTTAGAAGAATTAGGTTCAACATTATGTACTTCTAATAACGCATCAATAAAATTATTTAAATATGGTGCATAAGTTTCGAACCAAGGATAAATATTACAATGAATTCCTTGGGATTCTTTATTTTCATTTGAAGAAGTTTTTTTATTGAAATGTACACCATTCTTTTTGAAAATTTTTCTTAAATGGTGATGTAAACTTCGACTATGATGCCATTTTAATGGTTGTGGCATACGAATCATACAATGATGTGGATGTACACCTGCTGCTTCACATTGTGCACATAAATCATAATCTTCACATTGGATACATTTGTATCTAAATCCAACTATATCATTATCACAACCATCACAAGTTATTCCAAAATGAATTACTTTTTCATTTAAATCATTTTGATATGGATTCGTTATTGGTCTTTGTTCCTTTTGGATAGTAGGTTTGATATATATTGCAAGATATTTTGTTTCTATTTCTTTGTTTCTGATTTCATTAAAAGCAATTTTTAATTCATCCTCAGATGACATTACAATTTGATCGCCATCATTATCTAAAATATATACATAATTATTGTTTAATATACATAATTTAAGTTATTTATTAGATTTATTGTTTATTGTTTTAGCATTTATTGATGTGGATCATTTGTCGACTATGTCAGATTAATGACAACATTATTATTTAAAATAGTATGGAAATTAAAGTAATTGTATCAAATAGTTTTATTTTTGAATTTTAAAGAAAAATAAAAAATTATCTTTAAAATAACAATTACCTTTCCAAGAAACAGTAAAATTTTTATGATTTAGTTCAGGAAACAGCTCTTTGATTTTATTACAAAGCACTTCAAATCTATCTGAGAGATTAGAAGGATATAAATTAAATTTTCGAATTTCTTTAATGGAAAAATCACTATTTTGCAAATATGCTTTAAACATTTTCATTGCATTTAATCTATATATTTTTAAAATTATATAATTACAAAATAAAGTATAAGTATTATTGTAATTCCACAAAAAACCACTTTTATCACTTTTCACGAAACACAAGTTTCTTGTCAAGTTCTGTTGTTTTATGACTAGATGATTCTATTATGAAGCTTATATATGTAATAATACACGTATATGTCTGTCAAACTTATGCTGCGTAATTCGATCGATTTCACAAAATGGCGTTTCCGGTAACTCGTAGTAATTTATCTATGTTTTTATAATTATATTTTATTGGTGTAATTAAACAATTATATTTATTCTTTATTTTGATTATATAACGTTAAATAAAAGTAATATTATGTTTTTTTAAGCTTCTTGTACTAATTAGTAATGAATTCTTGTTGAAAATAGAAGGGCGCCATTTTTGAATGAAATGCGAAATTTGACAGTCATGTGACATGCGTAGAAATGATGATTCACCATGTGAAATTTTAAATCATCATTCTTTCGTCATTGCACTAAATAATTATTTTTTGATATTTCTTAATATTTTTAATTTATTTAAAATTTATAAAACTTATAATAATAATAATAATAATATGTGTCATATTTTATAACGATATACAATTACAATAAATAATTGTGAAATTATTCTATTCTAAGAGTGATAAAATGAATTTTATTTTTTATTATTTAAAAGTAAAGTAAAACTATTGTGCTTATAATATTATTAAAAAAAATAATTTTTCATAAAATTTCAAATATTTTTCAAATAATATTATGTTTATACAATAATATTATATAAAATTAAATGTAAATACATAATTATACATTTTTGTAAACTATTCTACTTATTTAAATTTTTACATTATATTGTTTTTATAAGTCAAGAAAAATATTATATAAAGCAGTTATTATGTATTTTAGAAATTTATATTTGTAATTATTATGTAAATACATAAATATGCAATATAAATGTATAAATGTTTTGTTTTTAATAATAATCATTTATAAGAAGAAAGTAATTTTCTAATGGAATATGGATCGATATATATTATTTATTTAACAACAATTTAAAATGAATTTTGTGTATTGTAGGTATATTATTTTAATTTTGTTGTATTGTGTATTTAGATAAAAGATAAAACATAATAAAACATGATATAAGTGGAGTTACTTAATTTATATACAAAAATTAATTATCTTTTCCTGTAAATATTTGATTAATATTTTTATAAACTTTAATACTATTGATTAAATCTTTTAAAAATATTGTACAAATATTATTATTTAATTATTTAATTATTATTAGATATTTAGTTATTTAATTAACATAATTAAATGCTAATAACACTGTTCCTTTGTTAGCATTCTACTTGTCATGTCATGTCACGTATTATGACCTGATAATCTATTTTCTAATAGATTAGTATCACATTTAATATAGACATATGTTAAAAAATTGCACTTTTCATTTGTTGAATATTTAATGTTTGGCCTTGAATAAAAGTACTTGTTCCTACTTATAAGAATTTAGTTATTAATGATTCTTATAGTCTTTTGCATGGTATTCCGTAAATCGTACAGCATTCTTCTAGAAAGAAAAAAAGAGGGAATAAATTTTAAACTTTATTTTTTAAATTTAAATTTTAAGAAATGAAACTTGCATTATATTTGAATTTTCTTCTCGTTTCTTTTTATTTAACTAGAGCTGATATCTCTGGTGAATTATACATTCCTTTGATAAAATGGATTCGTAATTATTATTCAACTTCCTCTATTTTTTTTTTGTCTTCATTCAGAGAGGACAAACATTTCGACAGTACGATTTTTTAAAATTTATTTATAATATACTTGATCACATATTTATAACAGAAGAAATATATATTTGCGTATTTTCACATTGTTTAGATTTCAAAATAAAACACTTGTCATACCTGTGGTCTCGTGTTCTCCAGCGTGAACAAATTGCAACTCTAACTACTTCATTTAAAAACATTCATACACTGAAAAATAATCATCTTCGATCGTTGGTCATTGTTATTATCCCTGGATCTTATATATTATTTGAATTTTCAAAAATTTCAAAATCCTTAAAAATGTCCTCATTCTCATGGTTTGTCATATTCATACCTTATATGAAAGATATAAAAAAATATTGTTACGAGCCACCAGGAAATATATTTAATTTATTATACGACACTCAAATGTTAGTAATGTGTGACGATGATCCTGTTCTTCGTGAGTGGTATTCAATTGATGAGAACAAAACTGAGATATTTGACATAGTCAAATGGTATCCAGAGAAGCAACAAATAGGGTTTCCAGCGGCAGTTGATTTGTTGACTAATTTAAGTCTGTACGAGAGAAGGAACAATCTCAAAGGAAAAGTTTTGCGAGCTGTCATTGTTAAGGTAAAAATTCAGATTATTTCACGTATAATGATTAAAGTGAAATTCAATAACATTATTTATTTTTTATTTATAGGATTCGTTACTATTCTCAATGAAAATAATAAAATGGCAGGATATTTTAGTTTAGCGATCACTGAACTTGAGAATGTTCTTAATTTCACTCTCAATATCGTGGCCGAAAAACGTGAATTTGGAAGTTATAATATGACGACGAAACGTTGGAGCGGAGCATTTTCCTTAGTAGCTTCTGGAGAAGTAGACATTGGATTATCTGATTTTTCAATGACCAATATTAGACTTAATTTCGTCGATTATACGATTCCTATTATAACAACTAAAAGATGTTTGTTTTTAAAGCAACCAGAGATGTTCACAGTAAAATGGTTCGCCTATTATAAGGTATGTACATCGTGAAATCATAGACAGATGTGTACATATTGCATTATAGATTCTGAAAATATGCATTTTCAGGTTTACAATTTCATGCTCTGGATATCTTTAATCGTGACGATGATAATTTCTCTACTTGTTTTGGCCTTCATAAGATCTAGAATAGAATCGAATAATATGATTCAAGAGATATTTCATGAATTTATTCGAGTTTGGGGTATTTTCTGTCAGCAAGGAATTTCAGGAGGTGAGCGAAAATTAGATTAATTAATTTTAATTAAAAATCTATTTTAAATTTTTTGGGAGGAAGGGGAGGAGAAAAATCGAGATATTCACTTATGTTAATACTTTCCACAGAACTTCCACGGAATTTATCGTTGAAATTAGCATATTTCACCGTACTTATGACTGGTCTAGTGATATTCACCGCTTATTCCGCCTCTATGATATCTTTTGTGACGGCTTGTATTCGCAATGTACCGTTTCATTCGATAGAAGAGTTTATCGATGATAATTCGTATAATTTAATCATGTTGAAAGGTTCCGCCGATTACGACATGTTCATTGTAAGTTTGTCCAATAACGGAGAATTCTGGCACGATATGCTTTCACTTTTACTTGCACGTCGAATGATTACGTCATGTATGCAATATAATACGAACGATTGAAGTATGTAGTGTAACGAATGAAAAAAATACAGATTCCCAAATGAACGACGAACAAAATAGAATGCATACACTTTAATGATAACGCATCATTTTCAGTATTCGAAAGATTCTATATCCAAATATATGATGTCCAAACTCTTACCAATAGATAAATTACCAATCGATGTAGAAAGCGGATTTCAAATCGTAAGTTTATTTTATTTATGCGTATATTTACGTATATTATATTTTATTTATGTGTCGATGACATTTTAAATTCAATTTTTTTTTAATAATTCATAATTTTTTATTTTTAGATATGCGACAATTCCAAGATAGGTTATTACAGTGGTTACAGTAAAAAAATACAGAAAATAACGCAGAATTGGCGTATACCATGTGAAGTTTATTGTATCGATGTCGGCCCAATAGATAGCTTGTCTCTGGTCCTTTCAAAAAATAATCAATTTACTTCAATTATAAATTATTAGTTAGTATTTATCGATGTTATATATTGATGATCTTTAAATACGTATTTCTTCTAAATTATAATAATTAAAATATATATTTACAGCTTGCAGAAACTTTTAAACTCTGGAATATTGAATCGATTCAAGAACGAAGAAACTTTCGCGGAGGAAAGTAAATTTGAGCCAGTTGCAATTTATAGTGTTGCATCTATTGTAATAATCTTTTGCTGCGGTGCACTATTAGCACTTGTAATATTGTTCATAGAGATATATTACAAGAAACTTAATTCTAAGTATCTCGAAAGGAATATCTCGAAGAATTGATCATAAACAATGGTTTGTGTTTTAAGTTATTAAAAATTTGCGCACAAATAATTGAAAAAAATGGTAATGCTTCTCAATGCTTCTAAGTGAAAAATTTTCAAAAGAAATGACGAAAATACGAAGAAAAGAAAATAAAAACTTTTTATAAAAATTTTTTTTCACAATATATGTATGTGTCATATATGTATCATATATTGATGAAGAATGCTGTTTCGTCTCTAAACAAATAGTTAACTTGAAGACACGATAATGAAACATTAATAATATCAAGAAATGTCACGTTCATTCTTCATACTCTCAAATTGTGTGGATATAAGTTGTACACAACCGATGTAAAAGTATGATATCTGTAAATGACATCTATAGAAACATCCATTAAATCACGACATGTTTTAACAGAAACACGTGCACGTGTGTTAATAAACGTTCTTATCTATGTTAATCTTTGTAACAATTCATATATAATCTGTATGATTGCACGGATGATGCATACTGTGGTCATTAGAGATACTATCCTTATTTCTAGATCGTGTACCTTTGATAAGTCCCAATGTAACCTGTAATTACGGTTTTTCTGTATTTTAGTTCAGTAGTTACCATTAGGAGCGGTCGAGGTTTGAAAGGGAAAAGAATATTATCGAGTTTCAAAAATCCCCCCAAAAAAAACGCATTGATGAAAACGAAAGAGTTATCGTATTAAAAAACGTTGAAGTAAGATGGCACGAGTGACTTGTTACGCGATTATATTGTTATTCCTTTTGCCCGTTCCCTCGTTCCCGATGGATGCAAACGATATTCACAAATATATACTTTTAATTAAAGATGTTTACAAGTATTACGAAACGACTTGCATCATAATCGTGCGTCCAGACAGTCATACCGGTAAGTTTTGTTGAAACTTTTCTCGAAAATTGTACGCGTGAAAGCGAAGTAGACTTGATTACAACATTTAGATCAATTAATTTAAAATGGCGGATCGTAATATCAATCTCTCGTTTAAAATACTTTCTTTCTCGATTCGTAGAGAAAAGCATAGAACAATTATCGTTTCAGAATTCGATCAAACGTCTCTGGCTTACATATGGTCCCGAGCTTTTTCTCAACAAGGCATCTTGACCATGATCACGAGCTTTTCCGAACTATTGCACGAGAGGAAATTTCAAGATTACACAACACGTCCATTGTGCGTCGTTATTCTTACTACGAAGGAGAACATGATTGAATTTTCCACGATCACCAGATACATCGATATTTCTTTTTTCGTCTGGTTGGTGATGTTTCTACCGTATCGAGAAAATTCTATGCGAAATTTTTGCCAAAATCCTATTGGAAATCCGTTCAATCTGATCTTTAACACGGAGATGTTGGTCCTCTGCTACGACCACCCGGTTTTGAGAGAGTGGTACGCTTTACGCGACGATAAAACGAGAGTTTTCGATCTGGCCACATGGAAGTCTGGACAAGGATTAAACTTAACGACGAGAAACACTTTATACGCAAGAAGGAACAATTTATTTGGACAAACAATGCGAATATCGATCGTCAACGTGGGTATCGTATGATCGTCGAAATATTCAACAAATCTTCATTCGCGCTGTGTTGTTCCGTTTTTTTTTTTTTTTTTGTGAAAATTTCAATTAATTTGTATTTCAAGGAATCTTTGTTCATCGAGATGAAGAATGGTGTTTTGTCGCTTTTTTTGGGGGGCGGTGGTCAAAGAATTGAGTAAATCGATGAATTTCAAGATCGAAGTGACCAGCATAATGTCGGAGTACGGTAGCTGGAACGAGGAGGAAAAGATTTGGGAAGGTGTTGTAGGTGAATTAGTATCGAACAGAAGCGACATGGGTGTGGCAGAATTCAGCATGACCAGCAATAGGTTGGAGGCAGTCGATTTCAGTTTGCCGTTAATTATGTCGCACAAGAGAATATACTTTAAAAAACCTGACAGCTCGTCTGTACACTGGTCCGCCTACTTGAAGGTTTTTCTTTTTCAACAGTATACCACACTACTACTCGTGGTTTTCAACGTATAATTTATGAAATTAAAATTAACGAAGATTATTTATTTCTTTCCTTTTCGATGTTATAATGAATTCTCAATTTTCAGACGTTCAACGTGGACATATGGATGGTGATAATATGTCTGATCGTATCCGTTCCGATATTTTTAACCATTATTAAAACGAGAGGTCGTGTCAGAATGAACGTTCTAACGGATAATTACATGCATGTTTGGGGTATTTATTGTCAGCAAGGATTGTCAGGTAATTGAAAATTATGAATAAAGAAATATTTTCCCGTGTAAAAACATAATTTCCTTTCCAGAATTTCCGAGCGAGACCTCGATGAGATTAGGCTTCCTATCGATTTTCGTGTCTTCGTTGATCATTTTATCCGCTTACTCAGCTTCGTTAACCAGTTTCTTAACAGTTTCTACGGTTAGCTTACCTTTCTCCACCATGGAGGAATTCGTCGATCAAGGATCGTACAAATTAATCACGTTTAGAAACAGTGCTGATTACGAGATTATTACTGTAAGAGGACATGTGGTGTTTGGTTCTATATGAAACGAATAATATCCGAGCATATAGTGTAATAATAATAGATACGATTTCAGTCTAACGATCGCAGCCTAACTTTAAAGCTGAAGAAATTAATAAAGGAGAAACAAGAATTGCCTTTGACGGCTCAGGATGGATTCGTACAGGTTTGTGATGGCGATGATGAGTGGTAGGAGGAGAACATTATTTTCAGAATATTCGGTAGAATTGAAATTAAAAAAAAATATCGAATAGAATGAAATTTAATTTAATTTATATCCCATGTCCTAGGTTTGTAACGAAAAAGTAGGATTCTACTTGACCAAAGCGATAATGAATGCTATGACAACAATACCGTGTAAAACTGTATACATCAAAGCATCAGGGATCGATAGTTTGGCTTTAATCTTGACTAAACGAAGTCCTTATACTGGATTGGTTAATTACTTGTAAATACAAATATATATATATATACGTATATAAGTTTAATTTAACGTCAACTTATTTAGCTTCGTTTTAATACATAATTCTGACATAATTCTCGTGAATATTTTTACAGCATACAACGGTACAAAGACAATGGAGTAATGAACAAGTTAAAACGCATGTACTTCGTGAAAAAGAAATTTTACGACAACGGGTACAATAGCGTTACTTTGAACGGAATTGCGCCTATTCTGTCTGTTTTGGCCGGTGGAATACTTTTTAGCTGTCTTATATTGATTTTCGAGAAGGTATACCATCATTTTTGCAGCTGCGAATGCAAGAAAACGTATCAATTCGTATTTTGGCAGAAATTTTTTGATCGAGAACTCGGGATGAACTCGAGGGAAGAGAGAAGGCGAGATGAAAATCTCCTAAGAAACGCGTTCAAATTTAAGAAAAATCAGCTATCGGAAATTCTTCGTAAGAATGATTTTCCCACATAATTGATACGAATAAAATTGACTCGATCGCGTGACTTTAATTATCGCGATCGAAACAACGGTGATAAAGGCTCGTTTGTTCCCTACCGGTAGAGAATCTCTCTCATTAATTTGTCATATATTCCTATCCCGCGAGCAAAATCACTCTCACTTTATATCACGGTAGCATCGATAGATCGTTAAGTGATTAGTTACAAGTTTCCTGTATCGTTCCTCTCGCCTGCACTTTAACTCGAACCTTTCGATCATAATTCCTTCTAATAGCGTTAATCACCGTAACAACTCGTCTTATATTAAATTCATATTATAATAAAACGTGTTGTATTTTGTAACGTTTACGGCCTAATCATATTAATTTATAACCGGGAAAAGTTTTATTATTACTCATAGTCTGTGTTATATCGATGATCTCAACTAATAATAATACATGCAAGTAGATACATTAAAAGCAAGAATATGTTTTTTTATTTGAAAAAATTTCGTTACAAATATTCGATCAAATATTCGATTAAAGAAGCGTGGTAATAGCGTAATTGCGCAACACAGATATCCCCTAATGCTTGCATAAGAGGAGCAATTACACGTTGATCGTGTTAGCGGCGAAGACTCGTACGAAATGTTTCACCTAAGACCTTTGAGAAGAAATTCACCCACGTGACTATCTTCCCACGTGAATCGGCCGATATCTGCCCGGCTAATCGAACACACGCGAGGATCCTGTCGCTTTATCCTCGTCGTCCTTCGATCCCGTCAACACAGGGATATCTATCGTTCAAATGTTAGGGGATTGCACGAAATTTGATCGTGAGAAAGTCATAGTTGCATGCTATAAATCCAAGAAGAAGAGAAAGAGAGATCGTCCTTTCGTAATTCGCGAGAATAAGGAAAAAAGGACGCGCGGTTGAGGAAGGATTGAAAGGTACGAAATTACGCGACGAAATTATTTAACTTGAAAAGTAACATCGAACTTTTCTCTTTTTTGCTGAGAAAAAAAAATAAACAAAGGTGTACACTGGTCACGGGTTAGTTGGTATATTCGATAGTTAGTTAGTAAAAGGAGGCGCAGCGGCCGGATACGGACGAGCACGCGCTTCGTTTCCGCTTTTCGTTCGGCCGGAAATGACCTTTGCCTTATTACAAAAAAGTTACACGCACTGAAAAGTTGCGATCTCTCTGTCGTCAAACTTTTTACTCAGCGAGGATTTAGCGAGCGATTTTTCGAATCTCGAGATTAAGTATCGTATTATATTTACGTTATTTAAAAGATTAATTTCGACCGATCTTCACCGCTCGAGTATCTTCGCTCGAGTTATATAGTTTGCGGTTCTTCTCTCTCTTCTTTTTTTTTTCTTACGTCGGAAGAACCGGATAACCTTGGCATCGACGCGCAAAATACGCTTGGACTGGGGATCAGTCGTGTTCGTAGATGACTAATGCTTAAACGAGCGAGGAGAGTATGAATCGAAAGCGATATCGAGGTGAATTTTAGACGTAGGATGCGCTATGCGATATTGTCGCGACCCACCTGCGCCCACCTTGCACTCCCTCGCGCGGGACGACCTCGAAGTCATCGATTTGAATTTGCGTCGCGTCGCGGAACGATCGTAATCGAAAACGATCAACGGTATCCCATTTTAAAAAACGAATATATCCGCTGTTTAGTCTCGGCACACGTGGCATTCATTGTTGGCAGGTTGTGTCATCCCTGGGCTTGTCCAGAATGCCATTATTATCGCGCATGCCGAGCAGGTAATCGCGACTTCTATCCACCGAGTTAACAATGATGATAATAATAATAATAATAATAATAATAAAAAAGAAAAAACGATTGCGAACCAGGAAACAATAATGCCAGCCGATAATGACTATTGTCGAAGAGGTGGTCGAACAATGATGCAACATGGTAGGAGGGGAGGGAGGGGGGGGGCTGTTTCGCAGAAAGTATCGTGGAACGAACGAAAGAGAGGGGGGTCTGTCGGTGGCGCGAAAAACTTTGTCGAGTTGTCTCTCTATTGTAACCGGAATAAAATCGCGATAAGAGAGGAGAGAGGGGGGACGTATATTTTTGACACGGTTATCGGCGTTATCGTGTAACGATCCAACGATTATTTCGAAGAAGTTAGACGTATAATAAAATAACAACATTTGCGCTTGGTCTTGAACGACACTTTATCGAAGAAACGAGAGGCTCGGCTCGCGATTGATCTCGTAAATCCGGTGTTGCTGACTTACCAAGCGGTAGTTCATTATCATGCTCGAAAGCCGTGGGTGGCTATTAACTCGTGCATCGGCTTCGAAACTCGGCTGGTTCGTTCGCCTGTACGTACGATATATATTTCCATGGAAAACGTCATCGCGATTACGGCTACTTAGCTAGCGTGCAAAACAGAAATCATGCGGACGATTCGCATACGTTCACGGATCGTGTCGCGTGGGTGTTCGCGATGTTCGAACGATCGGGATCGCCATCTCGGGAGAATGGAGTTGCCGTTTCTTGAGCATCGATTGTACGTACGCGCGACAGATCGCAGAATAGAAATGGAAACGCAAGAGTGGTTGCGCGTGGAAGAAAATTTGACAGTTGGCGGGCATCTGGCTTCTCCTTTCCTCTTCCAATGCCAACGTATATGGCTGCCCACGTATACCGGGTGTCGCGTGGGTGTGCGTCGCTCGTGCTCGTACGCGTGCAACGTAGTGGGGATCCTTCGGTGGTACTTCACTGGCTCGTACGGAAAGGAAGGAAAAGAGTGGTGTACCTACAGCTGTGCCTGTAAACGCGATTATGTTTCGTCGCTGGCAAACCCATTCAGTGCTTCTTACGGCACGAAGGAACTTGGTACTGTCGCTGCAAGCGTTCCGTGGCGGCAACACGCGTCCTCGCTCGCTCCTCGAATCACGTATTCTCGAGTTGCAGCCGAGGAGGAAGTCGCGCGTAGGACGTGCGCCTTAGAACGCGGTTTACAGTTTTCGGCCAGGATCACGTGCACGCCTTTTGGACCGGCCCTCTTGTTTTCTGCTTCCGGGGAACGCGCGCCTCTACTTGTACCAGTGAAAATTGTTCTCGATATACGAGCGTTCCTTCGACGAGAGTTTGTGCCCTCCTTGTCCTGTGGAAACACGAGTTTTTCGTTTCGAGGG